TTTCCAATTACAGGAGGACCGTCACATGTTAAGAAACATAAGTCTCTACTTCTTTCAAGATCGTTTCAGTAAGGAAAAACTGAAGCTTTTGTTCATAACAGAAATAAGACCTGTGTAGCGATGTAGCACAACCATAGCCTCTGCTGCTGAGAAGGGAATATCTGTGAGGAAAAGATTACATGCCTGAATAACGTACAACCTTAGGGAAAGCAGAGCACTGACTTCTACACTGGATGAAGGAGGAAAGCAAAGTAGTATAATTGAAATCTCAGAAAAGAAGGTTGAAATGAGCAACAAAAGTCTAGAGAAGGAGGATGGAGAAAAGGGAGAGGTTTTTACAAATGTAATTTAAAGTCATAAGGGTTGTTCCTGAAAATTTCTAGAGGTGGATAATGGAACCTCTCATTTACAGTAGCAAGTCTTAGAATCCAAGTTTATTTGATTCAGTTGTGGTCACATAAGCAGTACCTCACTGGTTCAATAAGCTTTAATTCATCTTCCAAACTTTCACATAACGATCCCAACTAACCTTAAGGTTCTTCTCCAAAAATTCTAAATTCATCATCTTTCTTTTGAATGCAAAATGCAATTCCACTGTGAACGTGGTGCTAATATTTTAAGGATATTTTTGCTTTTGCTCTTGGAGTTTGCTGTATTTCAATAAAACAGCAGTAAGTTGCAAGAGCTATTAGAAGAATGGAGCAAATGTGAGAATAATGATTAAAGTGATCTAAGATTTGCCTTAAAGCTACACAGTGTCCTCCAACATAATGCAATACTTCCACTTCTTGGAATCAACCATTTTTTTCTGCATGATATTAATGATATCTTCTAATTTTATTTTTTTTATCAACAGAGCACTAGTACCATTTATGTAAGGTCACTAATGACTATATTGGATTCACGATTAAAAATCATTCAGTATCTTACTGCTTTTACCCAGTTCCTTGCTTATACTGTAATCCTTATAACAATTATCAGCTTTCCCAACTTAATAAATTTCTGAGTGGCACCATATAATATGTTCTATTAAGGTTCATTTCCATAAAGTGTGTCCCATTGTCTTTGCCTAGAAAATCAATCAATTTCCTCAGATCATTTTTGAGGAAAGTCCAGCTAAATCAAATATAATCTTGTGTATTCTGATTACTCACCACTTCACTATTTGCTTTAAATTATTGCAGACAACTCAAATTCAGGGACTTTTGAGACATGAATCACTTCTCTCCCTTCCTTTTACATCAGATGCCTTATTGCCTGTTCTCCAGTTATATACCACCCTGACTCTACTGGAAATATTTCCCACAGAACCAATCCCACAGTCATCTTATTCTATTTTTTTTCAGAATTATTGAACGAATATTTGCAGCCTATCTGAGTATTTCTTCTTCAAATACATATCTCCCAATTCTATATTTTATTTGTATTTATACTATAAATTTGTATTAATATACTAGTATATTTGAATCAACTTTAGGAGAGTAGGGAAAACTCCCTTCCCTTCAAATCACTTTCCCAAGGACAAGGTGAAACTTTGCTAGAGTAGCCAATGTGATACTTAGCCACAGAAAGAGGCATGAAACTAAAGCTCCAGACCATCCTCTGCTCCACCCCTGTTGGTGGAACAGTCACAGGCAGGTAACAGCAGCTGGAAGAGCAGTGAAGAGCCGTGCAAGTGCCAGGTGTGCCACAGGATGGTGCCACAGGGTTAGATTTGTACATGACTCAGCTGCTGCTTGAGTTAAAAAACCCAAATGCTAAAGGTGGTACACTTCATAGCCGGCAATATCTGCATTTGACAGATAATTTAAATTTTACGCGTGAGTTTGCTATTTTCTTTACTCATCTGATCTTCATTCCCAAATCTCATATGTGTATAGGGGTGACTGTGGACTAATTACAGCTAAAGTGAGCATCTGTACAGTAGGGGCTTATTGCTGATGAAACAGCATAGCCCTCTTTGCCTTCATAACTTTGATTTTCTGGAATACCTGTAAAACACATTGTGCAGAAATAATTTTAGTAGTCCAACTATGGAGCTAATGATCTACAGATCTCTTTTAGTTTAATTTTCCAAAGATTAATTAAATTAGCATATTCCTTCTGCTATTATAATAGCAAACCAGTCTAATGTTGGTCTACTTTGGGTAATGTTTCAGTAGTTTTGGGAGTAAGGAAGAAGCATATTGGTACATGACACCTGAGAAACAGGTATTCCATTCCTTTCCTGTGGTATACTAAGGTTCTTTACACAAAGAAAAAATATTTTCAGGGAAACAGCTGTTTTCAATTCTATTCCAGAGTTTTTATCTATAACAACACGAATGTTTCACTTCACTTAGAACAGAATCAGACAACACAAGCAAGCTTTTAAATTGTATTACAAAATACTTCATAAAATATGGTAGGAATAGAGGAAGTGCATAAGAAGGAAAAACTACTTGTTTTGGAGTTCCTACACTTACATATTTTAATGTTTCTAGTCTAACTGTCTAATTGGAAAAAGTATAATTTTTTTGTTTACTACTAATTTAGGATTTGAATCTTGAGACTCCTCTTGACATTCTGTGTGAATGGTAACTACAGAAATGAGAAATTTTGACCCAGAGTACTGGTTGACAATGTTTTGTGACAAGAATTTTTTATTGTCTGAATAGCTTTGCAAAATTTCAGCTGCCTTGTGGAATAACACTGCACGTCTGATCATGAATTGTTACAGAAATTTACCTTTTTCACCACTAGTGAAAGCAAACCAGCAACACTCCCTTCTCCATGCAGACCTTTCATTGTAAGGAAGCAATTAAAGATTTCACTCATAACCACAACTTATTACAATAAATAGTTCTTCATCTTTCTCATATCTGTTCTAAGTCTTTAGGGAGTAATTACATTTGATGACACTTATAGACTCGAACTTTTATAGGCACAGTTACACCCAAGAAACTCATAAATCTTCATATGCAAATGAGCCTATGAAACTGCTCATGACCATGGGGCTGGGTGCTTAACCCACTTTCATCAGAAAGAAATCGTAGTGTCTCACTCCAGAGGTGCTATATTAACTGACAGGAATTCAGGCAGTGGCCTCCAGGTGAAGACAATTAAGCTATTCTGCCAGATCTGGAATGTGTTGGGAGCAATTCAGTGACTGGTTATAAAGGAAGGAAGGAAGGAATGTGTCCTGCTTTTCCTTGTTAGGGCTTGCTACCACCCTAGGGATAAGGGAACTGTTTATTTTCCTCCTGGAGGGAAAAAAAAAAAAAAAAGGTTTTATGTTGGATGTGAAACAGGTGATCTGAACACCTTAACCCTTTTAACCCTTCTTACTGTATCTTATATATTCAACAGCATTCCTTTTCACAGCTGTTTTTCTCTCTTTAAATTGCATGGATGCAAAGCAGGAAAAATCCGATCTACCTTATCATTTGCCTGTAAGCTTCTCTGTCCGTATTGGGGGCTACAGGAAATCGGTGTCTTACCATTGGAATAACAAAAAAAATAGTAAATTAAAAAGAAATCCATTTATGTTATGCATTCCCAGTGCAGAGATACAGGTCCAGAGTGGTTGCAGATTCTCCCATATTTGGTAACACTGCTACTGCACACTGAAAATTGAAAACAGAACTTCACAAAAAGGGAAAAAAAAAATCAATGGAATTTTAACTACAGCCCTGTGCACTCTGGCACCATGGTAAACCACACAGAGCACAAGCAAGTATGCTATAATGCATTTTGAACACGTCTTCCTGTGGTCATTTTGATGTTCAAAACCATATGCTGCTGCTATTTCCTTCTCTTTTCCAATTCATTTCACTTGTTACACAGTGGCATTGACGGAAGACCCATTCCTGCAGCTTGTTCCAATAGAGCCTGTCTTCATAGAACAGGTTTTGTGGCGGGAGCCAGATTCAGAAACCAAGAATTAATCTCATAACAGTAGATGTGACTCTCAGATATCAAAAGTAGTAAGAGAGGTAAAAAAAAAGAAAAAAAAGGAGTAATTCTTCGCAGTGTCTGTTTGTCAAGCTGGGAACTCTCCCTGCTACAGGATCTTGTGTTTGCTAAAAATTTAGTGTCAGGAGAGGATGACACAAGTACATAGGAGAGGAGTTCACTGAGAATTACTAGATATACAGAAGTCATGCTTGGCTCAGGAAGATTCTCAGCTGCAAATGGCTGCAAGCTCAGGAATATATTCCTGTCCAATGTTTCATATCTCTCTTAAGTATCCATTCATGGCTATTATGAGAAGCAGGATACTGGTTCTACTGGACTCTTGGTCTTACCCAGCCTGGTCATTCTTATTTTGAAGCCTTACCTGTTTCCAGTCCCAGAGTTCCTTCTGTGTAAATTCTGTGTTCTTGGGTTTTTATTGATGAAAAATCCTTGCTTAAGAGATAAAGTACCAGAGATTATTAAAAAAAAAAAAAACACCTTATACTATTGAGATTAATGCATAGCTGAATAAATTTCCTACACTAATGCCTTCACTTTTGAGTATTTTCAGTCACACATGGATTCTGGCAGGTTATGTGAAGGACATGATCTTTAATGGTGGTGTCTTTCACTATTACATACTCGCTACACTGTCATAAACTATGCTATAAAAAAGAAATCATTCTACAGTACCTTTAGATATGTGAGTAAAAAGATAAATATGGATGTCAATTATTAGTTTCCTTTTGAAGCATTAACTATGTCTATATTCTGAGCATAGCAATGAATATACTTTGAAGAAAAGATAGCTGTTGCTTATAAAGTACATGTACACATGTGACCATAAAAAGCAGTACATATTTCTCCTTTTTATATCCTTTCCAATTTCTACTTGTCAGAGAAAATTTTTGTTTCTCTCTCTGATTTTGACCAGTGTTGTTGATTTTCTGCATATCTCCTACCTTTGAAGTCTTTTAGTGTTATCTCTGAGGATTTTCTTTTATATTTTCAGCTTCCAGCCCTTACAAGAGCATTCTCTGACATACCTTTTGATGTTTTTGTAGGTCACTGACATACAGATTTACCTGCCAGAGGACTTCAAAGCCTGTAATGCTTGGCAGCCAAGCCTGTCTCAGATTTTTCTATTGGTTGGAAGAAGTTACTGAAATTAGATGGCAAATGCTCCAGCAACACTGGAGTCACATTCCTACGCTAAAGAAGATTGCCAGTGTGGCTTTCTTGATTATATGCTGCTTCGTGGCTGCATCTTGAACTGGAGGCTATCTGTCTGAAGAGGATGGTCTCCAAAGCTGCTCCACACAACAGCAGCAGGGTGACAAGGAGGGAACCACCCCAGGTTTGTGGCCTGCCTTTGGTAAAGACCTCTGGTTCTAGAAGAATGGAATTTTCATTTCTGTAGACTTGTACCTACTTGGACTGCTCTTCCCCAAGCAGCTACCAGCAGTGTCTACCAAAGCAAAAGGACTATCTGCAGTCACCTTGACATGACATGAGGCCTAAGCCTTCTCACAGAGGCATCCCATCTTTGTGAATCATGGGGCAAGCTGGGGTACTCTCAGGGAATCCCCATGTGTGCCTGTTGCCTAAAATTGGCTCTTAAATGAAACCTCTAAAGACTCAGTTTTTGAGTTTTTTTACTTGTTGTTGACCTATAACTGTAAGCATCATATTTGATTATTTTACCTGGGCAAGATGACAGAAATAGATCAGTTCTATTATTTTAACCCTTCTGTGATTAATATCATATTTCAAAATATATACTATTCTTTTAGATACAACAATTATATTTTTCTTGTTATATACGCATAAAATAATAATGGTCCTGATTTTGTACATATTATTAAGTAAAGAGTTTCTGGAAAAGCAGAAAACCTGGCTTCCATTACACAAGAAAATGTTAAATAATATAAAATATCATGGCATGTAAAACAAGGCTGGAGTCTGTTCTCACATCTGTTATTCAAATATTATATTGCCATAGCATCTGCTGTCTTGCAGCTAATCAGATTCATCATTACTATTTAAAACAAAAACAGGAAACAAAACAGACAAACCACTGTTGGTGTTGGATTAAGAATTTTTGGGCCAAATCCAGTGAGAAACTGATGGGCTATAACACTCGGTGTCCCAGCCCATGGCCTGCAGGGAATTCTGCATTAGGCACCTACACTCCCTGTATTGTCAATGAGAAGATTTAAGAGCCTCATTATAGGATAGCTGAACAACCTGTGCCCTGAGCAAAGAGCAGTTAAGGTCAATAGGAAATCCCCGTCAGGAATTCAGGTGCTGCACCAAGGCTGAGAGCCACTCAGGAATCCTTCTTGGGACCAAGCATCTACAACTGTTCTATCAGAAACTGTACAGAGTACACTATTTTTACTGAAGCTTCTGTAGAGTAGTTCAGGGATTAGCATACTCAAAGATATGCCAGAGGCATTTAGTAACTTGCTCACCTTTAAGGGGCCCATACCTGTATGTTTTCTATTCGCATTTATTTGTATGAGATCTGTTCACATGGTCAAGTCTCACAACTGCGTGGCAGATGTTTCTTTCCTCTGTTTGTAATTATATCACCTGAGTGAAGATCCAGTATTTTGAAAGAAACTAAATACTGGGTACATAAGCCCAGTTAGAGTAGTGAGTCTTCTCCCAGAAGCTTTGTCTGAAACTCATATTCATGATCAAGAAGCATTCATAATTGTCAGTGACAGAGTGACCAGATTTTTTTAGATGAGAAATACCACCAATGAGTTATGTAAACTGTTATGTAGGACTAGGAGCAGAGCCCTCTCCTGATGCTAGTCTAGAGACATGCTACAAAATTCACATGACAATATTGCCTCAGGAAACTGATCTGCATTCACTGACACAAAGACACAGGCAACAGCACTGTACTTTCAAAACCTATGAACACATCATAATCACTTTAGCAATTTCATTGAACAATATTATACCCTCTAGCATATATATGCACACTAGTGCTCAATAAAATGTGATGTCATTTTAAAGACCTCAGTTAATACAGGTGATTAAAACTACTGTATCACAAAGTAGATTGTAATACTTAATTTGTTAAGAAGATGTTAGAAAGAACTTGACTGAGATATTCAGGTTATAAAGTCCAGGATGAAAACTACAGAATGAGCTCCTTGTACAAAAAATACTTCCTCAGGTAATGTGACCAGCATATGAAATTCAGTAAAGCTTTAGATCAGCTGTACCTTATAGCTGGATTATGTTTTCCTAGCCTTGCTAATATTATGGTTAGACGCTGCCTCTATAGTTAGAAAGAAGAGTAATCACATAGCTCTACTTTGGCACAGAGCTTAATTATCTCTGAGCTTTAGTAAGGGTAAAGTATACCTTGCTCTGTACTGATGAGAATAACCTTTATTTTCCAGTCCTTTCTGGTCCTGAAGTACCAAATAGTGGCCTTTAATTACACACAGGAGAATGCAGTTCATCACCTTTCCCTCGCAGTATCTGAGCACTCCCCTAGCGCAGTTCGGATATATCTGTTGTAACAACACACAGAGCGAGGACGCTTCGATTTCACTGTGATTAGCTCAGTTGTTCCTACCAGCCAAAATCGGCCAGCTTTGTGCTTTAATTACACTCATTAAATAAGGTTCACTTACTTTATTATGAGGATACATATACTGAGAATATCTTATCTTGGTCCAATTGCAGTAAAAGACAGTTTTTCTCATATAATTGCAAGCAGCTAGAAATAGCTTTGGTTTAACTCTTCTTGTGTATGTTTTCTTTCCCCCTCCACCCAAGCTGGGGAAAAAATGCCCAGAAAAGATACAGAATTGTATCTGAAACAGTTAAATTGACATAAAAACTGAATATGAAACAGTTTCTTCCTGCACAAACTGCTGAGATATCAACAGTGCTGATCTTTAGCTGAATCTTGCTTTTTTTGTCTAGGCTCCAACGTAAAAATATGAACCCTGGCAACAAAACTGCATATGGAAGCCAAGTAGAGTCCCTGAGACTAGCACAGAAAATCCTAAGCCACAATGAGAAAAACTATTCCAGCTTCCCCTAAAGCAGGTTGTGAGGTTACAGCTCCCTACCCCATCACAAACTAGTACACTCGGGTTTGCCAGCATCAAGGCAAGCCGTGCTTGCTGTGTTGGCAAAATGATCCCAGTGAAATGCAAGACCTTTAACCATAAGGGTTCTTTTAACCCAGATCATTTTTTCAGGTCTGGATTTGAACAATCATGACACAACATCAGTGGCAGGAGAAGGAAGGAAGAGGCAAAGCATAGATCTGGAAATAGAAACCACTTAATCACATGTAGTGCATTTGATTCCTACTTAAGGACCTTACCTGCTCTCCCAACCTGACGTACACTCCATTTTTCCTCTAACAATTGTTCTTTACCAGAAAGAACAGTGTATGTTAAATAGTTCTGAAACTATGGAGGATTGCGGGGTTGATTTGCTACATTTGAATTTACTTAACCGTTGTGTTAATAATTAGTCAAATTTGGGGGAAGGAAAAGTTTCTAGCCATGCTACTTTTTAACCTTATTTATCAAACACTGTAACTACTAAAACCTGTCAAGAACATACAAATGAATTTTTGCTTTAAGGCTGAGAGCAGTGACAGTCAGTACTTTCAGAAGGACTTTATATGCTTCAGAGCAGTGAGACAGAAACCCTGCCAACAGCAAGAACCTTCCCCAGCACCCTCCAGGCCTGGCACCGCAAGGGCTTTCAGAAACTGGGTGACACTCTCTGTATTGTATAATCTACTTCCAACCCTTAATTCAAATCACAAAGCCAGCAGAAGCTGCATCACAACCCCCTTCTCCTGCAAGGCAAATCCAGCACGACAGTTTTCCTTACCACCTCTCTCAGCTGGCAGGCAGCAGCCCTGCTGCCCAGAGCACATCAGACCAACAGCCGCCCGGCTGACAGCCTTTGGCAAGATACCACCGACAAGGAGTTCCCAGCCAAACCTCCTGTTCCCTGTAGAAACAGGCTGTTTCTCTGCTAACCCTTAATTGTTGGGCTTTCTCTCCCTTAAATCCTGCTGGTACCGGTAGGGCAGGTGGGGCTAACCGAGCCAGGGTGGTTAGCTTCAGGCCTCCTGGCTCCCAGAGCAGCAGGTCGCTGTGCCGTAATTACTGTTGGTTAATAGTGTGTTTGGCAAGCTGCGAACGTTCTGGAAGTTGTTTCCTTCACGCAGTCTTTCCTCTCATTCCTCACCACCCACTGTTCTCCTCGGCAATTGCTAGTTAAGGTGGAAGTTTTTTAAGAAACTGCTTGTTAAAAGTTAGGAAATGGGGTGCTGCCCATGCCATTGGCAATCCTTTTCCCTGGAGGATTAGCAAATGGAGTTGTTCTGTGTCCAGTTGCATTTCTCACATCATGCTTCCAGCCTTGCATAATTTTTGAGGAATAATTTAGGATGTTATGTAGCTCATCCTGAGCAGTGCAGGATGCCATATAAAAATAGGGAAGACCAGAGAATGAGCTTTAAATTAGATCAGTTGAACTAACTGAAAAGAAAAAGTCAATAATTTGGGGGCATCAGGTTTGAGAATAACGGCTCTGCATTAAGCTAAAAAACAGCTAGATCATCTGAGACAAAAACCAGGCAATAATTGTGAAATAGAGGAGAGATTAGTGGATAAGAGGGCTATTAACAAGGGGAGAGGTGATTGAGTGATATCTCCCTTAGAAAAGAGGCCTAGTTCATCATGCTAAAAAGCATGAAGGGATTTATCTTGAGGGTGAATTGCATCGAGCCATTAAACAAAAAATACATTTTTTAATATCTGCTAAAGCTATGAATTTAATTTTCTTTGCTCATTTTTTGAAGTGTTTTGTGGTCTGCCTTGAAGATTAGGACTGAGAAGAGAGAGACGGCTGTGAGAAGGGAGATGGTGTGAGAAGCACGTCTGCAGGACATGGGGTGCTCCTGTTTTCTATCAGTTGCCTCTGCAGGTTCATTCCAGTGCATAGTGGCTGCTGCAGTTTCACCCACGTAGCTCCCCTAAGGGCATTTGGTGCACTGACTGAAATGTAGGATGTTCTAGGAAGAGTGCATGAATCTTATATCTTGATGGTTTCTCAGGTATGTGGGTGGCATTTACTACAATCAGAAAGAAGATCTTGTGAGAGAAAAAAATAAATCTTCTATAAATCATCAGTAGATGCAGTGGGGCTGGGGGATTAATTTTCTGAGTTTTCTCAGACTTTATACAAATAATTTTCAGACTGTTCATTAAAACTTAAAATATAGCAGTGGGCAAAGTTGTGTTTTAGCAAAAATGTCACATTATTTCCTTTAACAGAAGCTGAGTCTTGAATGGTTTTCTGATATACCAATTATGTTAGCCTTTTGCAGGAGCCTGTATATAAATTCTTAAAAAGAAATGGTTTATGGAAATACTTCTAGAGAGCAGAATTCTGCTCACAGGAATGTAAGCAGAGGGTGGAAACTTCTACCAAGTTACCTCTGAGAGAAGTTAGTTAAAAATTATTTAAAGTCATGCTCAGTGTGTGGCCAGGCTCAGGGTCCTTGCAGTTACTTCCCTTGCAGACTTGGCCGTTAACAATAGTAACAAATATCTAGCTCTGTATCGAATGTTTATTGC